TCTCCAGTCAACTGACCCTGGGGGATACCATCTCCAGTCAACTGACCCTGGGGGATACCATCTCCAGTCAAATGACCCTGGGGGATACCATCTCCAGTCAACTGACCCTGGGGGATACCATCTCCAGTCAACTGACCCTGGGGGATACCATCTCCAGTCAAATGACCCTGGGGGATACCATCTCCAGTCACATGACCCTGGGGGATACCATCTCCAGTCACTTGACCCTGGGGGATACCATCTCCAGTCAACTGACCCTGGGGGATACCATCTCCAGTCACATGACCCTGGGGGATACCATCTCCAGTCACTTGACCCTGGGGGATACCATCTCCAGTCAACTGACCCTGGGGGATACCATCTCCAGTCACATGACCCTGGGGGATACCATCTCCAGTCAACTGACCCTGGGGGATACCATCTCCAGTCAACTGACCCTGGGGGATGCCATCTCCAGTCAACTGACCCTGGGGGATACCATCTCCAGTCAACTGACCCTGGGGGACACCATCTCCAGTCAACTGACCCTGGGGGATACCATCTCCAGTCAAATGACCCTGGGGGATACCATCTCCAGTCAAATGACCCTGGGGGATACCATCTCCAGTCAACTGACCCTGGGGGATACCATCTCCAGTCAACTGACCCTGGGGGACACCATCTCCAGTCAACTGACCCTGGGGGATACCATCTCCAGTCAAATGACCCTGGGGGATACCATCTCCAGTCAAATGACCCTGGGGGATACCATCTCCAGTCAACTGACCCTGGGGGATACCATCTCCAGTCAACTGACCCTGGGGGATACCATCTCCAGTCAAATGACCCTGGGGGATACCATCTCCAGTCAACTGACCCTGGGGGATACCATCTCCAGTCAACTGACCCTGGGGGATACCATCTCCAGTCAACTGACCCTGGATAAGGATACCATCTCCAGTCAACTGACCCTGGGGGATACCATCTCCAGTCAACTGACCCTGGGGGATACCATCTCCAGTCAACTGACCCTGGGGGATACCATCTCCAGTCAACTGACCCTGGGGGATACCATCTCCAGTCAACTGACCCTGGGGGACACCATCTCCAGTCAACTGACCCTGGGGGATACCATCTCCAGTCAAATGACCCTGGGGGATACCATCTCCAGTCAAATGACCCTGGGGGATACCATCTCCAGTCAACTGACCCTGGGGGATACCATCTCCAGTCAACTGACCCTGGGGGATACCATCTCCAGTCAAATGACCCTGGGGGATACCATCTCCAGTCAACTGACCCTGGGGGATACCATCTCCAGTCAACTGACCCTGGGGGATACCATCTCCAGTCAACTGACCCTGGGGGATACCATCTCCAGTCAACTGACCCTGGGGGATACCATCTCCAGTCAACTGACCCTGGGGGATACCATCTCCAGTCAAATGACCCTGGATAAGGATACCATCTCCAGTCAACTGACCCTGGGGGATACCATCTCCAGTCAACTGACCCTGGGGGATACCATCTCCAGTCAACTGACCCTGGGGGATACCATCTGCAGTCAACTGACCCTGGATAAGGATACCATCTGCAGTCAACTGACCCTGGGGGATACCATCTCCAGTCAACTGACCCTGGGGGATACCATCTCCAGTCAACTGACCCTGGGGGATACCATCTCCAGTCAACTGACCCTGGGGGATACCATCTCCAGTCAACTGACCCTGGGGGATACCATCTCCAGTCAACTGACCCTGGGGGATACCATCTCCAGTCAACTGACCCTGGGGGATACCATCTCCAGTCAACTGACCCTGGGGGATACCATCTCCAGTCAACTGACCCTGGGGGATACCATCTCCAGTCAACTGACCCTGGGGGATACCATCTCCAGTCAAATGACCCTGGATAAGGATACCATCTCCAGTCAGCTGACCCTGGGGGATACCATCTCCAGTCAACTGACCCTGGGGGATACCATCTCCAGTCAACTGACCCTGGGGGATACCATCTGCAGTCAACTGACCCTGGATAAGGATACCATCTGCAGTCAACTGACCCTGGGGGATACCATCTCCAGTCAACTGACCCTGGGGGATACCATCTCCAGTCAACTGACCCTGGGGGATACCATCTCCAGTCAACTGACCCTGGGAGATACCATCTCCAGTCAACTGACCCTGGGGGATACCATCTCCAGTCAACTGACCCTGGGGGATACCATCTCCAGTCAACTGACCCTGGGGGATACCATCTCCAGTCAACTGACCCTGGGGGATACCATCTCCAGTCAAATGACCCTGGATAAGGATACCATCTCCAGTCAACTGACCCTGGGGGATACCATCTCCAGTCAACTGACCCTGGGGGATACCATCTCCAGTCAACTGACCCTGGGGGATACCATCTGAAGTCAACTGACCCTGGATAAGGATACCATCTGCAGTCAACTGACCCTGGGGGATACCATCTCCAGTCAACTGACCCTGGGGGATACCATCTCCAGTCAACTGACCCTGGGGGATACCATCTCCAGTCAACTGACCCTGGGGGATACCATCTCCAGTCAACTGACCCTGGGGGATACCATCTCCAGTCAACTGACCCTGGGGGATACCATCTCCAGTCAACTGACCCTGGGGGATACCATCTCCAGTCAACTGACCCTGGGGGATACCATCTCCAGTCAAATGACCCTGGGGGATACCATCTCCAGTCAACTGACCCTGGGGGATACCATCTCCAGTCAACTGACCCTGGGGGATACCATCTCCAGTCAAATGACCCTGGGGGATACCATCTCCAGTCACATGACCCTGGGGGATACCATCTCCAGTCACTTGACCCTGGGGGATACCATCTCCAGTCAACTGACCCTGGGGGATACCATCTCCAGTCACATGACCCTGGGGGATACCATCTCCAGTCACTTGACCCTGGGGGATACCATCTCCAGTCAACTGACCCTGGGGGATACCATCTCCAGTCACATGACCCTGGGGGATACCATCTCCAGTCAACTGACCCTGGATAAGGAGACCACCTGGTAACAGAGACCATGTTTTGCAGGTCCCTTGAGCGGTGGTCGTCTTTCACAGGTTTTACTCTATGGTGTTGCTCTTCTCCTTCTACCCATGCTGTGTGTGCTGTTTGTGCTGTGTGTGCTGTGTGTGCTGTGTGTGCTGTGTGCTGTGTGCTGTGTGTGCTGTGTGCTGTGTGCTGTGTGCTGTGTGTTGTAGATTGTTAGCAAAGGTGACATGGCAAGACCAAACATCAAGAAGAGTGCTGATCTCTACAGGAAGGCTCTGGAGATACAAGTTAGTTGTACCGTGATCCCCAGCCGCTGGACAAATAATTACAGTCAGACCTTGTATAACCGCACACACCTGTTTTCCACAAAAAATATCCGGATGGGCGAGGGAACCGGATAATCGAACACACATACTGTATGTCTGCATGGCATATGCTGTAAATCGGTAACCAACGATTTTCTACCGGATGGCGAGGGATCCGGATGAAAGAGGACCGGATAAGCGAGGTCTGACTGTATCAGTATTCTACAGCTTGCTTGCGCATACTACTAACCGAAATTCTTCAGATCTTGCTGGTCTGGGTTAGAGTAACAAAAAGGCGAAGCAAAGTCCGTTAAATCACGACTGAATTTCGACGTGCTAGCGAAAATAAATTTCGTATTCTAGATTCATTCAGACCATCAGCACAGGTGAGAGCAGCAAGTGCATGAGTGCTATGTGGGTACATTTGCTACTGTTGTGGCTGCTGCTGCTGCTGCTGCTGCTGCGGCATCTCTTTCTTTCTAATGCTACTGCTGCTGTTGGTGATGTTAATGCATGGATTGATTCATTCTCTTCATTGTTCCTATGGTTGTGTTTGTATGTGTGTTTGTGTGTGTGTGTGTGTGTGTGTGTGTGTGTGTGTGTGTGTGTGTGTGTGTGTGTGTGTGTGTATATATCCTGCAGCCTCTGCATGCCCAAGGCCTGCTCTACCTAGCTGACAGTTTGGCACAGTTGAAACAAGATAGGGAGGCACTCAAGTATTTCGAAAAGTAAGTCGGAGACAAGCAAGTGTTCGCGTGCACGTAAACACGCACCCATACACCCACACACACAACCATACAAACGTGCACTTGGACGCACACACCCACACACACACGCACACACACGCACACACACACACACACACAAAGACACATACACACACGAAGGACAAGCGTGACACACTTGTGATGGAAGATGTCCATTCTGGTTGCTGCTCGTCATGGCAACGAAGTATCGGCCAGCTCTCGGCGCCATGAAGCAGCAAAGGGAGCAACACTTGTCTTATAGAGCATGTGTTTTGTGTGAACAATTAGACTCCAAACGTCAAAGACACAGCGGATAGCACCTAAGGTACGACGGGAAAACCTGGCGGAATGAGAAAGTTGTCATGGCGAAATATACACATGGTAGTTGAAGTTGCCCGTCCACCCACACATAAATGTGTGTTCAACTACCACGAGGAAACAAAGATCACCATGGCAGGCCCTATGAAGTTGCACAGAACAAGAGCAACGGCTCGAAAATGCTTGTGAGTGAAGAACTTTTTTACACTCTTTTGCTAAGTCCAGCCGTGAAAAACAAAACAACCTGTTCACCCAGGCGGAATGACGGAACAAGTTCCCGGCACACTTGGGTAGCATGGAAAATGATTTTTTGGAGAGCGTACAAAGCGGAATGCACACATCTGCACGCACATCACACGTCATGTTGATATACCGCAGCACTGTCATTAGGAAAACTGCCATTCTGTCGTGCTGTTGTGTTTCAAGAAGAAGGCAAATCCCCCGGGATGAGTACCTTGCCTCTCCGCGAATGAATTATGACATGTGAATGTGCTGGATGGATGCGCGCCTTTCCGTATCAACGTGTGTCAACGTCAATACGTCCTAAATGAATTGGTTAAGTGTGGACATATTTGACACACTGAAGTGTAGCCTTTTTCTGGGTATTATGGCATTCTTGTCGCAGAGGAAACTGTTCACAAATTTGACACATGCATGAAATACTGTATCCTGTCTGACTCATTTCTTCTACGCAGGCATTTAAACATCCATCCGAAGAGCATTGACGGAAACTTTGTGGCTGCTGGAATTTGGCAAGACATGGGTCGCCGTGGAAAAGCAATCGAGTTACTCCAGTAGGTCTTGAATGTCACTAGGTCATGGATTGGTAGTTCGAACTATTTTACAACATTGATGTGGCTTGCATTTTTTCCTTTTCTCCCCGCCTGTCTAATGTATCATGGGTGGGTGCTTGTCTAATGTATCTTGGGTGGGTGCTTGTCTAATGTATCTTGGGTGCGTGGCTGGCTATTTACATCTTGCGTGCGTAGTTGACAAAGTTGTTAGAGCATTGAACGTTCACACGATTATCACCGTCACGCGATTGTGGGTTTGATTTCTAAGGTGACACGTGTGAGAAAAGATCAGCACTGCCCTCACTGAGTACGTTCAATTACGCCTGTTAATCGATTCATGAATGGAATATGGTGCATTCAAGTTGTTCGATTCTCATGTCCTGAGCCCTGGAATCGGTTTGGAATCCATTCACACTGTTCACATTGGGTGATGGGAATAACCAAGGGTGATTCATAAATGGATTCAACATCGATTCGTGGGCATAATCGAGCACCCATACTATGTGGAGCTCTTCCAGTGAAGCAAGGCCTCTCTAACACATCCTGTCCCTACGGATAGGATTCGCTGTGGGCTGCCATCACCCTTTTCTACTGTCTCTTTCTCCAGCTGTCCTCATGTGTACGGTGTGTGTGTGTGTGTGTGTGTGTGTGTGTACGTGTGTGTGTACGTGTGTGTGTGTATATGAGTGTGTTTGTGTGTACACGTGTATGTGTGTGTGTGTGTGTGCACGCATGTGTGTGTACACATGTGTGTGTGTACGCGTGTGTGCATGTCTGTGTGTGTGTATATGTGTCACAGACGTGTTGTTGCCGTGTCCCCTCGTGATGGTGATGCCCTGTACAACCTCGCTACACTCTATGCTGAGGAAGGACACAAGAAGAAGGCAGTAAGTCACATGACTTGTCCGCGCATTGTGATGCAACCATACTGGTTATCCCAGGACTAGGAAAACTTCATATCCTCAGTACCGTTATCTTCAGGATGCCCGCTTTGGAGCCCAGCTGCCTGATGATCGTGACTGCGTGAAACTCGGAGTTGCAACGCAGCTTCCCCCCCCCCCCCCCACTCTCTCTCTCCTTGTATCCTCGGTACTGTAGTACGGTTAATTTCAGCGAGTAGAATTTTTAGCGTTGTCTGAATGTGGACCAAATGGACTAAGAAAGTGGTGGACACCACACAACTGCATTATAAAGAAAAAAAAGGGGGGGGGGGTGTCAACTGACAACCGCTCTGACGATGGGTGACTGGCCCGAAACGTCACTATTTTTTCGACGTCACAAAAGAATAAAGAATTTTTTATCCTGCGCATGCGCCGAGTGTGAATAGAGCGGTTGTCAATTGACAAACCTCTTTTCTTTTTTCCTTTTCCTTTTTCTTTTTTTGCACCAATTTGAAATGAAGTATATTAGCGATTCGAGTTTGAAAATTCGAAAAGTTCACCAGTACTGTGCTGGATATGCAAATTTCAATTGGCGCGGTAAAATGTTTGCGAAAACACTCCTTTCGCTAAAACCACTAAAATATCACCGGCGCTAAAATTAGCCGTGTGAAAGTACTCCGTTTCCTGTGCTGCAGAAAGTATTCAAAAATGCAGTGCATGGATGGATGATGTGTGGATTTCTTGGTTACTGAGATATAGCGAGCACACGGCTTGTTGTGATCTCCTCACATCCTGCATGTTGTGAAAGTTCAGCTAGGAGAGTGCACCCATACTTCACATTGGCCTCATGCCGTCTCTCTCTCTCTCTCTCTCTCTCTCTCCCTGGCTGTACACAATAGGCAACATCACTGAAGAGTTTGGTGAAGTTCAATGCCAAGGATCATGGCGCCCATTCGTTCCTGGCTGAGTTGCTGACAGAACTCGGAGATGAGAAAGGTGCATCAGAACACCGGGCCACTGCCGACAAGCTAAAGACAAGAATAAGAGAGTGATCTGAGAGTGGTCTGAGAGTGATCTGAGAGTGGTCTGAGAGTGGTCTGAGAGTGTCCTGAGAGTGATCTGAGAGTGATCTGAGAGTCTATCTCTAATTGATTTTTCATGGTTTCGGGTATCTTTGGGGACTCTCCACTTCTGTGATGATGGTACATCATTCATTGTTCCAATCCATCGTCACACTGATTTGTAGTAAAATGGTTATATTGAGAAGTGTAGCTGTTAGAAGTTGTCCATGTCCAGAGCGTTGGGTATACAGGTACTGCAAACACATTGGCGAACTGTCAAACTCGTCTGTTTACAAATTGCCTAACATTTCTACTGCAATATTCTAGACTCGGAAGGCCGCAAAGTTACACCTGGCACCAGTGACATCGTTCTGCAGCTGTCTGCCCTCACACCCGGCCACATATGCATTTGTATAATAGTGTATATTGTTTACAAAAACAGTTCGTTTCCCTGTCAGTTGTATGGGTACTGCGGTCGGGGCTAATGAAGTCCGTGCTAATGAAATCCCACCGGCTAATCCATAGCAGCACTGCATTTCCATCTCAAGTACATAATCCACGGTTCCGGCCAACACCCATGCGGGGGGGGGGGGGGGGGGACCCGCAGTGTCCGCATGCAGGGGCATAGCGGCTGGTCCGCCTTTGGCCGCACCACTTTTTCGCCTGGAGGGTGCCAAAAGTGCCCAGAATGCAGGATTTCAAAATTTTCCCGCGGGAGACCCTATACCCCCCAGCCCCTCCTCCGGCCGGACCACCTCCAACGGAGGTGCTATGCGCCTGACATGCACCTTGGCGCTACATTCAGCTCATGGGCCGGATTTCTTTGGCAAATGTACGTATCTTCTTCTGTGTGTTCGATAAACCCCGCTTGATCATACATGTAGTTGCCAGTTCCCTATCATATCAGTGTCTGCTCCAGAGCCGGGCCAGAGCGACCCATTTGCAGGGGGGGGGGGAGGGTACTGGGACCCGTTTGAAAAAAGAATACAGGGTCGGTTGGGAATACAAAGTCTCAAGGAGTCCTAAAATATTTACAACTCCCTGATGTATATTGGGCATTGTACATGTGCAGTAGCCGCACCTGAACATACCCGGCTATGACCCGGTTGCAAGAGTTGTGCCAGGTACACACGTACCCGGTTGCAAGAGTTGTGCCAGGTACACGTGTAGTACCCGGTTGGTTTGAAATCCTAGAGCACACACTGCATGTATCAATAGAAGATCTACAGCGATGACCATGCTGATACTGTTCCCAGTATTTGGAGATGATCAGACAATCTGATCATGCAACGACTACATGTACATGTAAGTAGTGGTGTATTGTCAATGTGGGACTGGCCTCGTCTGCATGCTAGCTCCGGTCTGCAGATCTGGGACAGTGGAACAATTTTTTTCTAAATTGTTCCTTAAAAGCTACATGTACGTCACAGCAGGCAGTCAGCTCGTGGTTAAGATGACATCTACACACACACCTACCATGATTATCATTAACGTACAGGCACTTCGGAGTACAGTCCAGGACAACGAAGAGGTCCGCGGCGCTCCACACGTGCACAGACTCAGCTGCCTCACTGCAGATGCTGGGGAATATGTAACAAAAATTGACTGAGTACGAGGTCAATATAGGAAATAAAAACCAACAAAAAGACCGAGGTGAAGTCGGGGTCATTTTGTTGGTTTTTATTTCCTAGGCTATGTTCACCTAGTACGAAGTCAATATAAGATTTATCACGACTAGCCAAAGCATGTGTTTAATCTCTAAAAAGGAGTCAAATGTAAGCAGTCAATAGCCCGGCAGTGAAATATGCAGGAATATTTTACACAAAGGCACACAATGAAAACCTTGGCAAATTAATTCCGTTGTGACTCAGAGTTTCATGGCTGAACCAATCATCAGACAACGATAATGGAATAGGAGGCAGCGCTGGTATATCTAAGTGGAGAGAGGTGTGATAATACGATAGCGAGAGGAGTAATCGCGTGAATGTATACAGGGACAGGTTATTTCAGAGGCAGATGCAGTAGGCGCAGGTCTAGCACTAACAAGTACGCGCTTAATCTCGCTCACACACACACACACACACATACTAACACGCACACACATAGTAACACCCACACACATACACACATACACGCACACACTAACACACACACACATATACACCCACCCACAACACCCTAACTTGCACACGGGCGCACGCACACACAGACACCCACCCACCCACAACACCCTAACTCGCACACGCACAAACACACGGACACACGCATATACACACACCTATAGACACATGTCCACACGCATACACAGGCATCTGCGTTCGTATGACAAATCTAAGCGCACACAAACTCCTGCAATCACGCATCAAAAAAACCCGCAGCGGTCATAGCTGTCTATGTAATAGGGGTGGCCAGCAGAAACTTGCGCTGGTGAGGGCATTTAGATACCAGCTCACTTCTCTTGTTTAGGGAGGTGGCTTTTGAAGCTTTCAGGATGTGGAACTTTTCGGTTAAGCATAGGCCACACTTCTTGCTGATGTTACTGTATGAAGGTGCTCTATCCTTGATCTCCCATCTGATGTCGAATCCGCGGTTCTCGTTTTTCAGATCCCAGATGTGCTTGGACAACTTAGTCGATGCGGCGTACTTTTCATGGCGGAAGTCCGAAGTGTGTTTGTTGTAGCGCTGCTTGAATGTGGTAGCTGTCATGCCGACGTAGGTCTTAACTTCGTTGGATGCTACATGCGCCTCGTACACGACGTCGGAAGACTGGCAGTCACCGTTGAGGGGGCACGACGCCTTGACCCGACAATTGCATGGCACAACTGGCGGTCGCGAGTGAAGTTTTGCAGCATTGTGCCTGTCCCTGTATACATTCACGCGATTACTCCTCTCGCTATCGTATTATCACACCTCTCTCCACTTAGATATACCAGCGCTGCCTCGTATTCCATTATCATTGTCTGATGATTGGTTCAGCCATGAAACTCTGAGTCACAGCGGAATTAATTTGCCAAGGTTTTCATTGTGTGCCTTTGTCTACGCCGCTCTGCCTGAATCAGGCATTGAGCACTCTTGCAGAACCAAAGCACATTGCCTCTGTGCAGGAATATTTTATTATTCAAAAAGAGGACCAAAAGTTTACAAGTTATCCGTTTTGTACAACACTAACGGTCATAAGCAGAATACTGTTGAGTCAAAAATGTGCAACAATTAGCACAAAACTGACTGATGAGATCATGACATTCAACGACCTGATGCTTAGCTGCATCACATCTAGAATGCGCAAACCAGCAGCCTTCCAACTTGGAAGGTTCTAAGTTATGAAGTGACGTAAGAAAGGGGAACCTTCCAAGTTGGAAGGCTGCTGGTTTGCGCATTCTAGGGACCGGCGGATTCTGCTCGAAAAGCAGTGAAATAATGGCAGAACCATACAAACCTTATGGCGGGCAATTCCTCGAATTCTGCTCCATGTTTTTATCCACATACCAAACATGCATGAAACTTACCAGAAAAAGTACCGAATTCTGCCAATTTTTCTGCCGGCAGAATACGCCGGACCCTAGCGCATTCTAGACGTGATGCAGCTAAGCATCAGGTCGTTGAATGTCATGATCTCATCAGCCAGTTTTGCACATTTTTGACTCAACAGTATTCTGCTTATAACCGTTAGTGTTGGACAAAACGGATTACTTGTAAACTTTTGGTCCTCTTTTTTTCAATTTTAATCCTTGGTTCTCCATCCGAGTTTAATTTTGGTATGTTGAAAAAGGGGAAGGACAAAATGTTACGAGTTATGACTAACTGTCCACCAACGTAACCAGAAGCGAGTGCGACAAAATGGCACAAAACTGACAAGGAGTACTGAGACATTCGGCGACCTGACACCTACATGATTGTACTGTAAAGTGGATAAGTGTTGGTGCTAGGTGTCAGGTCGCACTCCTTGCCAGTTTTGCGCCTTGTTCAGTTGTTGTTGCACTCGCTGACTGTATAAGATCTGTGTGTGATCTGTGGAGAGTTGACTGTATAAGATCTGTGGACAGTTGACTGTATAAGATCTGTGTGTGATCTGTGGACAGTTGACTGTATAAGATCTGTGTGTGATCTGTGGAGAGTTGACTGTATAAGATCTGTGGACAGTTGACTGTATAAGATCTGTGGAGAGTTGACTGTATAAGATCTGTGGACAGTCAGTCATAACTCGTAACATATTGTCCTTCTCCTTTTTCAACATAATAATAATTACAATTGGCTCAACATCCGAGTTAAACTTTGCACACCTGATGAGCCGTCATGACCTATACGGCGAATGTAACAGTTTGAAGGTCTGTGGAAAAGACAATGCTTGCTCAAGGCAACACAACTGATATAGGGCACTTCGTGCCCTTAGGTGATAACGCGAGTTCTGACAGGATAGGGAAAGGTGCAAGATACAGAGCTAGAGGGCAGATAAGGTTAGCACTAACAGGAAACTGTTACAGCGAAACGTACGTCGTGTGGAACTACTTGTTATTGTACATAACTAGTCTCCTTCATACATGATAGTGGAGTTCAGTAGGATGTTGACGTTTCGGTTTGTCACAATTCATCTTCGCTTAGCTTCCCCCTTCTATGTTTATTACATAAACTTGAGCCTCCCAAGTAAGTTGAGTGGTCTGTTGCTTTGCGTCGTCGAGTTGTAGTAAGGCCGGTATGTAGTCTGACTAGTTACGTCATCATCCAGTAACGTTTGGCATTCTTTGTTGACGTGATGCGTAGCTCGTGCACTTCTTCGTTGCGCTTTCCTTCCCCTCTTGGACCTTTCCGAACCTGAGCCTTCCAAGTTGGAAGGTGGTTGATTTGCGCCTTGGAGAAGTGTTGGAGCTAGGTGTCAGGTCGCCGAATGTCTCAGTACTCCTTGTCAGTTTTGTGCCATTCTGTCGCACTCGCTGACTGTATAAGATCTGGTTCGTTGGTGGACAGTTAGTCATAACTCATAACTCGTAACATTTTGTCCTTCTCCTTTTTCAACATAATAATAATTAGCTCAACATCCGAGTTGAAAATGTTAGTGCTCTACGTTGTATGTATGTAATATTGACTGAGTACGAGGTCAATATAGGAAATAAAAGCCGAGTAAAAGACCGATGCGAAGCCGAGGTCTCTTACGAGGTCATTAATTTCCTATACTGACCAAGTACGAAGTCAATGTACATTGTATTCGATTTATCACGACTAACCAAAGCATGTGTTCAATCCCTAAAAAGGAGTCAAATTTCAGCGGTCAATATAGCCCTAAGGAGTGAAATATGCAGGTTAGGTATAGCAACAATTTATGGTAGTCAATACAAAGGGAGTGATAATGATTACGGACGGTATGTTGTAGGCAAAAATGATCTATGGCCTTGGGTAAAGATGCATGTAACGAGTTACAGTACGTGTTATTTCCGACATGACACGTCAAACAATAAATTATTTGGCGTAAAACTCCAATTTCGACGTGAGCGCGCGCTACATGCAGGTCGACCGGTCACGTCACCAGT